CAATGAAGAGATTCAGAAAGTGCTAAATTCCAGGCAGCCAAGTGATGCGGCCGCACTACATTCTGTGCGGTCCGCACTGACTTCATTGCGGCCGCACTCGATTCTGTGCGGTCCGCAGAGCTCAACTTCAGAGAGTGTCAAATTGGAGGATTATGGCCAATGCGGTCCGCGTTCCATTTTGTGCGGACCGCAACAGGAGCCACCGCGGCCGCGATGCATTTTTTGCGGTCCACGGTGGCCATGATCAGAGAGCAAGAATTCCAGCTGAAAGCCTTAGTGCGGCCGCACTCGATTTTGTGCGGTCTGCACTAGCCCCGCAGGGGCATTTTTGTCCAGCATTTTCGGCCTAATATAAATAGTTTCTTTTCCCATTTTTAGGTCATCAGTTAGAATATTCAGCTGAGCTGCGCTCGTGAATAGTGCTTTCTTGCCATTTGGAGTAATTTTACAATAATTTTACCATTGAATCTTCAAGTTTTAATTAGTAATTTAATTTTATGGGTTTATCTTCATCTATTTCTTTGTTTTTCTCTATCATCATGAGTGGCTAGACCCATCATCTAGGGTTGTGGCTCAACCCTAGTGTGGGTAATTGATGGGTCTTGTGTTTTAAGGTTTGAATGTCTATGGGTATTTGATATTTGGACTAATTTATGGTTTTATTGTTGAATTAGTGGTTGCAAACACTAGTTTATGCTTTGTTGATTTTGGCTCTTCTTGAGAAAGAGAGCCTAAGTCTCTAGAATTAGTCCAACAAGGAATTGGGGCGTACTCAAGAGAATTGATAGCCCCAATTAAAGGGTTAAACCGAGAGATCGTACTACCCGACTTGAACCTCAATTGCTTGCACAAATGATCATACCCAATTGATCTTGAGAAAGTCAATTAGGGCAAAATCACTCGAACTACCGAGAGGTATAAAGTGAGTAGAATCGTGCAACGGTTATATCGTAATCCCCAAATATGACAACCTAGCCTTAGACGCGAGAACCCGTCAATTATCCACCTAGGTGAAAGTCACTCCCCTAGTGCCTTTTTAACTAATTAGACAATCTTCAATAGTCTCCTCTTAGCTTAACTTAGCTTAATTTAGCATCTTAGTAGTATAATTTTAGAAGTAATATCAAAACCAAAAATGTTTAGAAGTGCAATTAGGAACAATTACGCAACTCTAACTTAGATAGAAACTCAGTTTCAATCTCTAGCTCCCTGTGAAAATCGATCCCAACCTTCTCGGGTAAAAGCTGCTTCGACCTCTCTTGCTACTTTATAGTAGTACAGGGTTGGCTTTGATCAGCCATGCGCGCTCGGAGTATGGCATCTGTTTACAGATCCCTTCGATCCACTCCTTGAATCGGGGGATTGCATCAAGAACTTGGGCAACAGTTGCATGGCCGTAGATACAGGCAATGAGAGAAGGAATAAAAAGAAGTTAATACTTAAGGAAGACGACAGTTACGAGATGTGTTCCACTTCACGGGGAGAGGCAAAAACTCGAGAGGGATCAGGTCTTCGGTTTTCACCCAAACAAACCTCCCCTACAAGCCTCGGTCTCGATCCTCGTCAATGCTCGAGAAAGGGGCCTTACTTGCTCGATGGACAAGCTTGATTATCCCTCCTCGAAACATTCGGGGGCTATATAGGCGGAGTATATGATGAAGGGTGAACTGTGGGTTGTCAGTATTGTTCACAAAATGACGTAGGAGGATCACGATCCTCCAAAACCATGGGTGAATTTTCCCGAGGCACACCTCGTACCTCTTGCAAAAAGCAAAGACTACGGGATCTATCGAGCCCAGCATGAAGGGGTAAGTGTAAGCACTTAAATACCCCTCCATGTGGGCAGTAATATCGTCATTAGTCCTAGGGACGACCACGTCTTTACCTTCCCATTTACAGTCCTCTCAGACTATGGGAAAGGTATCTTCCGTGACGGAGCATATGTATCTCCATGCTCCCTTGCCTCGGTCTTGTTGGCTAGAGGCCTTCTCAATTTTGAAATCATCCCCGATAGAGCAACCTCTGGGTATGAAGCTCTTCATAGGAGGCTCGTGAGCGACCTCGGGGGCAGCCACCTCGACGCCCGTGGCCGGATGGAAAGACGACAGAGTCATTTGTTGCGGTACAAACTTGGAAGTTTTAGCCATCGTGATATGCGAAAATATGAAGATTTGAAAGAAAAATATAAAGATTTGAAGAACGAGTATGAAGGTTCAAAGGTCAGAGATGAAGATATGAAGATCTGGGTTGGAAATCCAAGAAAAAGTATGAAGGTTAAAGGTCAAAGATGAAGATATCAAGGTTCAAGAAGTAGGGTAAGGAGATTTCAAAAAGTTAAAAGCCGTTGGAAAATTTGAAGGTAAAGCTAGGATCGAAAAGTGAAAGAAATGCAAAAGGTTGAGGCTTTTATAGGGGAAAAACAGTCAATGCACGATGTTTCATATTCGACCGCAGCTAGCCGGTGGCTGACACGTGTCCAAAGTTAGAACGACGCTTCTGACGGGACGTTTCGGCCTATCCTTCACCTCGGTTGTAACGTACGAAGGAAGGAACCGGGTTTCATCTATTATTTCCCATCATTTCGGCAAACCTACTCTCTGGAAAACGAGGGGATTATCTGTATACAGGTGAAATCGGGGATAACGCACACCCATATTTCCCGGTGAATAAAACGAAGTGAGGGCATGAAAATACGAGATCAAAATCGAAGCTGAGAACTCTTTGTATCGAGACCCGTAAAAACTGAACAAAGTGCTCTCCATCGGACCTGATAAAACGACGCACCCCGGGCTCGGAACGAGTTCTAAGAATTTGAAAAGCACAATGAACGGTTATACACAACGGATAGAGGGCCGTGATATTCGCAGCCAACCGGATATCACAACGCGGATCTTGCTCGATGACGGTTACGGATCAGTAATTAATGAGAAAGGAAGATTTTTACCCTTTTTAAATTTGTACTAGGGTGAAACTCTCCTACTATATAAGGGGAAAACTTTTCTTTGATAAGACATATTGTAACACGCAAACCAAGGCAATACATATTCATTTTTTTGCTTTCTAGCTATTGTAAAATTCTTACTTCACTGGTTGTTCTTCATTCACAGTAAGCTTCTAACCAAGGGTCCGATCGAGGGCAGACTACTGTTCAACCTAAGTTCGAGCTGGGCCGTAATATTACATTTAGTTTGATTATTCATCTTGTCTTTAACTCATTTATCTAATACTCTTGATTATTTATGTTGAATCAATCCACATATCCTTAAATCGCGTACAAATTTAATTGTTATCCGTTTTAAGGGTAAACAAAGATAGTTCTATACTAATTTATACCAAAATAAAAAATAAAAAAATCGTGTTATGTGTTGAGGTAACCGCTGTATTTAACACTAAATGAGAAAGCTACTAAAGTCAGTCATTTATTTTTTACGCATTTGGCACTAATATCTTTTTAAAATAATTTTATAGTGGCAGATCCGTACTTTTAAATTTGAGTAAAACATGCGAATTTTTTTTTTTTATGGTGATTAAGGTATTTTTATTAGTAGATTTTTTCTAGCTACCCCTCAAAATCGCACTAGTTGACTACTCTTTTCAGAGTTCCCAATTCGAATCGAATTTGTTTTTGGGATTAAGATTAAGGTACCTCTATTAAATACTCTATCCGTTCATTTTTACTTGTCCATTTTGGATTTTTCACGCCTCTTAAGAAATAACAATTGTAGTATGTATTTTACCTTATAACCTTTAATAATGATAGCATTTCAAAAACTCTTGGGAAATTATTTTGAAAATGAATAATTAATAATAAGGGTAAAACAAGAAAAAGAAATTATCTTTCTCTTCAATTGCTAAAATTGATAAGCAAAAGTGAAAATATATTTTTAATATAGTGGACAAGTAAAAATAAATGGAGGGAGTATATTTTCAATTCCCTATTCCCACAAACTTGTTTAGATATAAGAATAAACAAATGTATGATACACCTTTTTTAAAAGAAAATATTATATAGCAGCAAAGAAAGGGAAAATGGGGAGGAAATTACAAAGTGAGGGAATCTAATCCTCACGAAGGTAAAAGTTATATAGTCAACCAACTAAACCACTAAGATTTTCCATGTACGTTGCACTCAGAAATTTGAAATAGTTTTTATTTATGCATTAGACATTTGAAATAGTTTTTATTTCTTTATTTACAATACAACGATCCAAAGAACTTATGGGAATTAATGGGATGCCTCTTCACCACTTGCTCAAGGAGAGAATATATGTAGAACTGATATCTAGACAGGAAAGAAGGTTTACCTCAATTTATAGCGAGTGTCTACACCACACAAGTCAACCCACACTATCGATTGTGTACCTTCTGTGCATTATACACCTAACAAAGAAGACTTCAACATTTAGAGTAATAAAATGTGTGATACCCTTCAACGTATATTAAGTATTAGAGCGATGGAGTTGCAACTTCATCCCACACCTTAGATATAGAAATCTAATCTCTTCCAGGCTTCTCCTCTTTTCTTTTTCCCTTTTTGTATTTAGGAGTCCACTTAATTATCTCAAGAAAACAAAAGCCATAATAGAAACTAAGTAGCATTAGAGCGACTCGTCCGACTAGGAAAAATTCTTCCTTACGTGAACGAATTTGAAGAATGAGATCTGAAAATTTTCTCTGTGTATTCATCAATTGCATGTACATGTCTATATATACACTTGCTAAGAAAAAGAATAATAAAATAAAAGAAAACACATAAAGAATAATCTGTACATGTGTCCTATTCTAACTTGCTTATTCATAACTAACTTATATTCCCTCACATGACTTTCGCGTGAGGAAAGCTTCCAGTACTATTTCATCAGATGGTCTTTATTTAATCAATCAAGAATTCAGCTTGCTTGATCCAAAGTGCCTTCTCCACGTGTGCATCCAAAGTCGACCAAAATATTACCTCATAAACTTAGGTTATATCGAACACTCTTCACTTTGGTCTGAAGCCATTAGGTCTGCTTCTTCTTCTTCATCTCATCTTCTTCTCTATCTCTCGATGAACCACCATGAAAATCAGAATTATGAGGGGGCTTTTTCTTCTCAACATCCCCTCTCAAGTTAGAGGGGAACTTGGTGCCTCCTAACTTGCCCAAAATATCTCGATGAGAAACCCCAGAAAGAGGCTTCGTGAAGATGTCTGCAAGCTGTGCTTTAGAAGGAACAAAGGAGAGAGTAATTAGCCCTGAAAGAAATTGTTTACGCACAAAATGACAGTCAATTTCGACATATTTTGTGCGTTCATGAAAGACGGGATTCCGGGCGATGTGAATTGCCGCCTTGCTATCAGAATGAAGGGGAATTGGTAGAGTAATTGGTGCTGATAGATCCTCGAGAATTCGTACCAACCAGGTAAGCTCTGCAGTAACCCTTCGCATAGATCTATACTCTGCTTCGGCAGAGGACAAAGAAATTGAGATCTGCTTCTTTGATTTCCAGGAGATGGGAGCTCCTCCTAGAGTGATAAAGAAACCACTAACGGACCTTCTTGAATCCCTACAGGAAGCCCAGTCAGCATCACAGAAAGCGAGCTAAGAGAAAGGCGCCTCAGCTGACAATAGGATTCCTTTTCCTGGATCAGAACTGACATATTTGAGAACTCGCAAAGCAGTAGAGAGATGTGACACACATGGCTTCTGCATGTATTGACTGAGGGTGAGTACAGCAAATGAAAGATCTGGTCTAGTATTTGTTAAATAATTCAGCTTGCCAACTACATGACGAAATAAAGTTGGGTTTTGCAGATATTCTCCGTCATCAGCCTGAAGCTTGAGGGCAGGATCCAAAGGAGAACTGACTCGAGGCAGATGAGACACATCAAATTCTTGAAACATGTCTAAGGTGAACTTTCTTTGACTCGCAATAAATCCTGCTTGTTCTCTCAAAATTTCCATACCTAAAAATTAGTGTATACTTCCCAAGTTCTTGACATTAAACTCAGTATTTAGAAAATCTTTGATATCCTGAATTTCTGCTAAGTCATCTCCTGTGATTAATATGTTGTCAACATAGACAGCTAAGATAGAGATAAGACCTCTCGTGCGTTTAAAGAACAAAGAATAGTCATTCATTGATGAAGAATATCCTTTAAAACTTAGAGCCCCTGCTAGCCTAGCATGCCACTGCCTAGACGCTTGCTTTAAACCATAGAGTGACTTCTTCAAAAGACAAACATGCTTAGGACTAGGTGGATCCAAACCTGCTGGAAATTTCATATATACTTCCTCTTGCAAATCTCCATGCAAGAATGCATTGTTGACATCTAGCTGAGATACATTCCAATCTTTCTTGGCTGCAACAGTGAGCAGACACCTTATGGTTGTCATCTTCACCACTGGTGGAAAAGTCTCACTGTAATCTATTCCTTCTCTTTGAATATCCCCCCTGACCACCAACCTTGCTTTCAACCTCTCAATTCTGCCATCTGACAAGTGCTTCACCTTGTACACCCATCTACAAGGTAAAGCTCTTTCCCTTTAGGTAATTCAACCACATCCCATGTGTGGTTGTCTTCTAGAGCTTTAATTTCTGCAGTCATAGCTTCTACCCATCCTGGATGTTGACAAGCCTGGCTGAAAGTAGAGGGTTCTGTTAGGGTAGAAAGGGATTGCATTACATGTTGGTTTTTGGGTGAAAGAGATGAAAAACAGTACTCATTAGGTACACAGGGTTGAGTGAAACAGGATGTGGCTAAATCTGTTAACATAATGCTGCTGCAGACAAAGTCTTTCAGGTAGATTGGTTGTGTAGAAACTCTTCCTAATCTTCTTAAAGGTGTAGGTTCTTTAGGTGCAGAAGAGAGTGTCCTAGTGTGGGAAGACTCTAGGCTAGGAGAGACTGAAGTTGGTGATGGTGGAGAAACTGAATGGTGATGAGAAAAATGAGGGGGACTTAGATGATTGTGGTGAGAAGATATCTGCTGTATCATATTCTGAAGAAATAGGTTGTGTTGTATCTTGGAATGTGGTTGAATAGGTAGGTTCTGTGGTGAAAGTTGAAGTTGGAAAGATGGGATGATGTGTTGTGTTTGTTTCTGTAAAGGGAAAGTGTGATTCATGAAACTCCACATCCCTAGACACAAAAAACTTTCCTTGTAGATAGCTCCAGAAGCTTGTAACCCTTTTGTTGCATAGGATAACCAAGTAGGACACAGGTTGTTGCCCTCTCATCAAACTTACCTCTACCTTGCTTCAAAGTAGAGGCATAGCATAGACATCCAAAATTCCTGAAATAGTCATACTTAGGTTTGTGATGAAAAAGAACTTCAAAAGGAGTTTTTCCTTGGAGAACACTAGAAGGCAATCTATTGATAATGTGTGTTGCAGTCAGAATAGATTCACCCCAATATGATATAGGTAACCTGGATTGAAACATCAGACCTCTAGCAACTTCTAAAAGGTGTCTATGTTTCCTCTCAACAATCCCATTTTGTTGAGGTGTTGCTACACAAGACACCTGATGTATAATTCCTTCTGAAGCAAGGAAAGCTGCTTCTTGTGACCCTTTCCCCAACTCTAGAGCATTGTCAAACCTTATCACCTTCACTTTTGTATTGAACTGTCTTTCAACCATGGACAAGAAAGATTTTAGCATAGGAAATGCATTGCTCTTAGAAGACAGCAAAAATGTCCATGTTCCTCTACTGTAGTCATCCACTATAGTGAGAAAATATCTGAATTCATTATAGGTATTGGACTTGTAGGGTCCCTATGTATCTATGTGTATGAGATCAAATATATTTCTAGATTTAATGGTGCTGACGGGGAAAGGTTTCCTTGTCTGCCTAGCCTTAGGACAAACATCACAAATAAAATCAGAATTTGAGTCACAATGAAGGAAATCTAAATGTTTCATTGCTGAAAATGGGAGATGTCCCAATCTTACATGCCAAAGCTTAACATCAGAAATAGCATTAACATGAGCAGGACTAGAAAAAGACAGACTCTGAAATGGAATTTCTTCCTTTTTGAATTGAAAGTACATTACTACTGAATATTCCCTTAGACTTAAGATTACTAGGCCCCAATATGTAGAGACCCTCTCTAACTTCACCAAAAGCTTGTGGACTCTTCATTGAAAGGCCCTGCAACACACACCTAATAGAAGTGAATAAGATATCATATTTGAACTGAATGCAAAACCTATGTACTGACAATAGATTATATTTGAAATCTGGAACATGTAAGACATTGTTTATGACATGACCTAGAGAAATAGAAACACTTCCTATGTGAGTAACAATTACCTTGAAAGAATTAGGTAAATTGATGTTCAAAGGAACAGGAAGTTGAGTTAGAAACAAGAAAGAATTGGGATCAAAACACATATGTTCTGAAGCACCTGAATCAATGATCCAGGTGTCAGAATTTAGAGTAGTAAACACTGAACCTGAGTACTTTAGAATAGTACCAGCAACCGCATTAGCATTGATTCCTGAATTTCTTGCTTGTGCCAATTTTGCCTGCTTGTACATGTTCACCATTTCTGCAAGTTGTTCCTTGTTAAGGTTTTGTCCAAAATTGTTGTTGTTTTCAATATTCTGTCCTGTTTGATTTTCATTATCTTCATGAGTCAGGACTGCATTTGCCTTGATCTGATTTTGATAGTTCTTTTGATTGGTAAAATCAAAATCATCTGGAAATCCAATGATTCTATAGCAATCTTCTTGAGTGTGCCCTATTTTTCCACAATAAGTACAAGACACATTTGGATTGTACCTCTTCTTTGCCTTAAACTTCTGTTGTGGTTTGTTGAACTTCTGTCCTAAATTATTATATTTTGCTCCCATTGTTGCTGCTCTCCGTACTTGATTCATGTTCTTCTGAAAATTTCTCCCCTGCCCTGTCACCATAAAGGCTGCAAAATCAGCTAGAAGCTGAGCATTAGGTTGTTTCACTTCTCCTGTTGCCATAAATGATAATGAATCTGAGTTAAAATGTGCATTTGCATAAACTTCTCTCTGATTTTCATCTTGCAAAAGAAGAGAATATGCTACATCTATGCTAGGCAAGGGATTCATCATGAGTATGTTTCCTCTAGCTTGTGCATAGATGTCATTCAATCCCATTAGGAATTGAATTAACCTCTGATCTTCAAGTGATTTTGTCAATTTTGCTTTTCCTTCACAAGTGCACACACAGGAACAACATATGACCGCATTTAAAGCATCCAATTCATCCCATAATCGTTTGAGTTTAGTGAAGTATCCTACAATGTCACTATTTCCCTGCACTAATCCTGACAGCTCCTTTTGCAGATGATATAGCTTGGCTCCGTTTGATTTTCCAAACCTCTGCTCCAGGCTATCCTAAACCTCCTTTGCAGTTTTGGAGCATATCACACTGTCTGCGATATCCTTAGAAAGGGCATTCAGAATCCAGGAAATCACCATGTCATTGACATAGCTCCATTGTTCAAGATCTGGGGAACCCACATCTGGAGATTTGCAAGCTCCATTGATAAACCCAAGCTTTTTCTTAGCTGACAAAGACAACAAAATGGATCTCCTCCACCCTGGATATCCTCTTCCATCAAACAAGGTATTGACTAGAGTCATCCCAGGAGAATCAGAGTTGTTGAGAAAATATGAGTGATTGATGTCATAGGTTACAACTTTTGCAGTGCTAGTGCTATCTGCAGATTTGCTTGTGTCACGCATTTTAGATTAGTGAAGATGATGATTTGATTGTAGAGAATCAGATGATGTAAATAGTCTAGGCCTTTGGATTGTTGGATCGAGCTAAATGCTCTGATACCATGAACGAATTTGAAGAATGAGATCTGAAAATTTTCTCTGTGTATTCATCAATTGCATGTACATGTCTATATATACACTTGCTAAGAAAAAGAATAATAAAATAAAAGAAAACACATAAAGAATAATCTGTACATGTTTCCTATTCTAACTTGCTTATTCATAACTAACTTATATTCCCTCACATGACTTTCACGTGAGGGAAGCTTCTAGTACTATTTCATCAGATGGTCTTTATTTAATCAATCAAGAATTCAGCTTGCTTGGTCCAAAGGCCTTGCTTTCTCCACGTGTGCATCCAAAGTCGACCAAAATATCACCTATAGACTTAGGTTATATCGAACACTCTTCACTTTGTATGAAGCCATTAGGTCTGCTTCTTCTTCTTCATCTCATCTTCTTCTCTATCTCTCGATGAACCACCGTAAAAATAAGAATTATGAGGGGGCTTTTTCTTCTCAACAACGTAAGGTTACTTCGGATGATGTACAATTTCGGCGACTTAGAATAGGTGTGCATACACTCCAAATCGTTATTTAAAGTGTTACATATACTGCAACTACATATATGTAGTTCGTTTTGAGTATCATCTTTCTACTACAAACAACATTCGATTTTAGTGTTACCAATGATCTTTTGCTTTCTCAGTCAAAGGTGGAAACTATCGTACTGAACGATTCGATCAATCAATTGTTTGTCATTCCTCAAGGTAAGGAATCTAAAATTTAGAATTTAAGCATGGAGTTACATATCGTTCCATCATTCAATATGCTTCTGTTAAGTGATTTCATACCTTCTTTAATTTTTTCTTCTCCGCAAGGAGTGCGAACCACAACTCACATATTAATAGTCTGTTTGGGCAAGTTTTTTTTTGGGTCAAAAGTGCTTTTTTTTTTTGCCAAAAGTGCTTTTGGCAAAAAATTGAGGTGTTTGGTCAAGCTTTTAGAAGGAAAAAAAGTGCTTTTGAGGAGAAGCAGAAGCAGTTTTTGAGAAGCAGAAAAATGTAGCTTCTCTCCAAAAGCACTTTTCTGAGAAGCGCTTTTGAGAAAAATACACTTAGAAGCAGTTTTCAAAAGCTTGGTCAAACACTAATTACTGCTCAAAAGTGCTTTTCAAATTAATTAGCCAAACACAAACTGA